CATGTCTAATCGATAAAAAAAAAATGATGTCTACATCATGTTAACAATAAATCTTGTCATGTGCCTTCTCTTTTATTGTCACAAACATTAACTTATCAAGGCTTATCCATGGGAGATATTGATTATGGTCATTATTTGATTATAATTGAATGTTAATATATTTTGTTAATTTCTTGTAAGTAATTAATACAAAATCATGATTGAGAAATCAATATTTGAGGTTGGGAATGGGGGATGTGACAAGAAGGTGAGAAAAGTTTTTAGTTAATTTAGGAATCGAAAATCAGGTCGGATTTACATAATTTAATGTAGATTATATTTTATGATTTAACATATTATATTATTAATTTTTATTATCTAACAAGCACCAAGATTTATTTTAATGCGACAAAATTAAAAAAAAAATAAAAAATAAAAAATAAAAAAAAAGTACCAAAACAAAAACGAAACAAATAGTCCGAAGAGTATAATGAATAAAAGGACAAAATAGAAATAATGAAATATTTTGGACAAAATATGTAAAACTTCACACCGGAGGATAAATTGAAAAGACAAAAAAAATCAACGTTCCGAGAAGTTACACAAAACTTTTGAATCTAGTCTGCGACCAAAAGAGCTGAAAACCTAACAGGGGAGACCAAAGAGAGCAATGAGGGGGGGAGCAATCAGGAGTCTAATCGCCGGCTCAAAGCTGCAGTATACATCAAGCATAAGCGGGTCGTGTAGAAATGGATGGACGGCCGGCGGGCGTAACTACAGCCTTATACCAATGGTGATAGAGCACTCATCGCGAGGAGAGAGAGCCTACGACATCTTCTCTCGCCTCCTAAAGGAGCGAATCGTCTGCATCAATGGACCCATCAACGACGATACAGCCCACGTCGTCGTCGCCCAGCTGCTCTTCCTCGAATCAGAGAACCCTTCCAAGCCCATCCACATGTACCTCAATTCACCTGGCGGCCAAGTCACCGCAGGTTCCCTCTTCTGTTCTTCTTTTCCCAGCAGTTTATGGATTCCAATGCTCTTGTCCGCTAATATCTGATTTTCTAGAATCTGAGGAGATTTGGATATGCTTTGGTTCAATTTGTTCTGTGATTCTCATTGGTCTTTTTTCCCTTTTAGTTTTTGGTTTAACATGTCCTTGTAAAATTCATCATTTTGAATTACAGATGAGTGTTTTTTTTTTTTGGGTGTTTCCTCTTTTTCTTTTTAATCTTTTCCCCTCATCTATTGTGGTGTGTTCTTAGATTTTGTACACTGCCTGCGATGATATAGCTAGTATGGATATGATTTCTGAAGCTACAGTTTCATCATTTGACCGTACTGCTTATTGGCAAAGTGCACTTTCTTTTATCAGAATGTCAAAATCAATTTACGTAACTATTTCTAACAATCTGAACTTCATAAGACCATGGGTTAAACTTTGTTGATGGAAATTATGATTGACCATGAGTTAATCTTTTTTGGTGATAATGTGCATGGCGATAGATATCGAAAATGTTATGTTACCAAAACTCTAACAATGCCGTGGTATAATGGCCCATCTCTTTCAAGCATATTGTTTGCATCTATAAATTCTAGTTTCGGATTTCTTTTGTGGATGAGTGGATGATATATAAATGCTTATGTTGTCAATTAAAATGAATGGCTTATTTTTCTAGTTTGTGTGCTCATGTCACATACTTGTGATGCCAATGATTTTTTTTTGGTACACAGGTCTTGCAATTTATGATACCATGCAGTATATCCGGTCACCAATCAATACCATTTGTTTGGGTCAGGCTGCATCAATGGGTTCCCTCCTTCTGGCTGCTGGCGCCAAGGGACAGAGACGTGCACTCCCAAATGCAACTATTATGATTCATCAACCTTCAGGTGGGTATAGCGGGCAGGCAAAGGATATGACAATCCACACAAAACAGATAGTTCGTGTCTGGGATTCTCTAAATGTGTTGTATGCAAAGCACACGGGGCAGTCCATTGAGGTGATTCAGAAGAATATGGATAGAGATTATTTTATGACCCCTGAAGAGGCGAAAGAGTTTGGGATAATTGATGAGGTCATTGATCAAAGACCAATGGCATTGGTGACGGATGCTGTTGATAGTGAAAAGAAAGATAAAGGTTCAAGTTAGGACTAGAGAGTAAGATCTTAGTGATAAGTCCTTGCTATTTTTCTCTCAAGTTAACCTAAGGATCTGAACTTCTTTCCGCGGTTGATATTATGTTTCCAATGTTTACATCTCCGGTTCATTTTATTCTGATTCTTTCTTTTTCATGTAGTGCTTTCTCTGCTATTATTAACACTGTTCTCTACTTTTTCACCTTTAAGAAATAAAGTATATGGACTTGTTCTAGAAGTTTGCAAGTTCTGAAAATGTCACTTGAAAAGAGTTATTGAAATAGGTATAAAAGAAAATGATTTTTAATATAGTCATAACAGTTAGGTACTTTAACAAATTTGAAATCAAAGAACTTGGTAGCTTCTGCAAATTTAGCCACATAATGTGTTATTTGTCTTGGTGGTTTTCGTTAAGTAATTGTTTAAAATCCTTGGGAATAAAAGTTGTTTGTCTGATGAATATGCTGTCTGCTTTAGAGTAAATTAGTTGGTCATGGTTCTCATTTTTCGCATTTGGCTTACTTTTTTGAATATTGATATTCATTTGATCAGTAAGGAGCCTTGCTGTTCTTAAAATTGGTCACCTTTAGTCTTAAAATTGGTCACTTTTGTTGTCATAGAGCACATGATACAACAATTATTATTATGATTATGATTATGATTATGATTATGATTATGATTATTATTTTATTTGCTCTTCTTGTTTAAATTGAATTCCTTTATGGATGTTTTTGCCCAGTTGAATGTTTAACCATTAATTCTGAACTGTGGCATTATTTGTTAAGAGAAAATCAGACCAGATTGTTGACAAGTAGATAGGAATTTTGATTTGGGATTTACTCTGGGACATGCTTCCAATGGGACAGGATTGAGACAGGATTGGCTTCCACCTTTCGCATGTTGAAAAAGTTTGCTCTTAGTCCGTGAATTCCAGTTCTGTCAACATTACCCAGTAGTGCTTGGCATCATACCTGTTCATGCGTACTACATACTAGGTATGCTTCTGTACGAGTATATTTGAGCTAGACTTTTCAAGGCACCTTCTTTTGTTAATTTAGATATTGGATGTTTTAAAGGAAATGATTTTAAGTTATTTTCTAGCAGATCTTGTTTCATAATATGAAAAATCTGAGTTCATAAGAATGCCTATTTTTGAGTTTGGTATTGATAAAGCTGTTCAGAAACCATTACTGAATCTATATAATTTTATCAAGTCAGTATGCTTTGCTTTGTCAAAAACCCAGAATTACTTGAAGAACCTCTGTAGCCATCGGATCAGTATTTTTATTCATATATCTTCCCCCAGAATCTTTCTTGCTGCTCAGGAGGGTCCTTTTCTTCTCCCCTTCTCTCCAAAATACCTGTTTCTGCTGTATCCCTTGGAAGAAAGGTTTTAGTTTTTATGCCAAGAGGGTTAAAGTTCTTTTATCAAAAACTGTTTGTCTTAGAATTTGTAGACTAACCAATAAAACCGGTTTCGTCTGGTTTTATATCCAAGAGCAGATTGACAATTTTTTTTTTGTCCTGCAACATTTTGTTGTAATGTTAATAATCACAAACCTGTTTTTAAATAAAAACTTTGTACTCTTTTATTAAACTTCATGAATGCTTAACAAGGCATCATATTTATGTGATAAAAAAGTAAACCCAGGTAAAAATCTCGGGGAATTGTGCACAGTAAAAAATCAAAAGATTTTCCACCAAGAGTTTTGGTTTAATGGGTGGAAATAATCTTATAGCAATAAGTAGAGATGTTTAGAAGTGGAGGTTATGCTTTTATTTTTGGAAGAATTCTTGATGCCGAACTCAGAATCAACAATGCAATTCAAACTGTAACTTCTAGGTTTGGTTGGTTGCTTGAATAGTTCAAGCATCTATTTATAAAGTTGGCAGATGTCACAAATATTATCCTTTTGAAATTCAATTAATAGGAGTCAAAATACCAACTGGTGCTTTTGTGGGTGGTTTTGAAATAATACTCTGCACTAACACATCCCAGCGTTTCATATAATGCCCAACGGGTTAGTAGGAAAAAATATTTAATTAACTCTTAATCAAATTGGTTAACATTTAATCACATATGATTTTTTTTTTTTTTTTTTTTCACATAAAATCTACTATAGATTTTAATATTTGATTAAAACCTTAAGTTACCAAAGTATATATGTATTAACATTAGTATAAATCTAAAGCAAAGCTTAATCTATACATTTTATGAATTTGGCCCAAATCTTCGGTCTATTTTCTCTGTATTCAGTTAATCTTTTACTTACTCTTAATCAATTTTTATGTTTTTTTCTGGCTTCAATTGACACTCTAACTGTTCAAGAGATTTAAAATCTGATTATCTCTATCTTTAATTAATTACCGTATGAGTTCACCAAAATTCATATCGGAACTAGTTGTCCTTTCTAAACCAAATTATCAAAATATATATATTTAAAACAAAAAAAATTAGACTAGTAATTGTCCTTTTTATAATTAAGCCCAAACAGGGTTACTCAACATATTAATTTAAATTAGTATCTGAGGTTAAATTATAATAATTCTAAATAACCCTAATCATTCAACTTACGATAAAAATAATTAATCAGTTAAATATTTGAACTAGTTAATTTAGATTTCAATTTGACTTGAGTTTTTGATTAAATTTTTCAATCAAATTTACTATATTAAATTTAATTTATTAGACTCTTAAGTTTCCCTAGATAAAAATTTCTAATCACACAAAATTTAGAGAAAATCTATTATATTAACATATGCAACTTACTAAGTCCAATTATTTAGTTAATAAATAGTCAATAGTTATATGAATGTTGAATCTTGATCATCTCAAATAAGTTATTGTATTAACAAACATCTATTTTTATATTATTTTAGATGAATGTTGAAAGTTAATTATTAATATAAGAAAAAATCTTTAATTGAATTAGATTGGAAACACAATATTTATTTATCAATCTTGATATTAAAATAATATTTATTTATAAAAAACATTTTATAGTTTATTTCATAATAATTAAAACAATAGTACTTTTGCACCAAAGTATGTCATGTAATTTAAAAAAAAAAAAAAAAATCAAAGATAAAAATATGACTTAAAAATTTAAACTCAACTCTTCTTCCACATGCATTTTAAAAAAAAACTCTTTTCTAGTTTATTTAATTTCTACATATTATAGAGATCACTTTATTGCTTCACTCATAATCTTTATTCTTTTTTGAGTTGGCTTTCACCTGACAAAGTAGCTTTGCTCCTCATTTTTTTCAATTATAAATAAATAACTAATTTAATAAATATTTATAATATCATTCAGATAAATATAGATTAAGATTAGATTGTGACATCCCAAATACCTTTTAGGTAAAAAAGGAGCCAACTACTTATATACTTAGTACATAAATAAAATTTTGACATCAAAGCAAAAATGTAAAATCTCTTACAACAATATAAGTTTATTTCCTTACAACATGGCCATAAGACTAGGTGAAATATAAGGTAGAGTCCTTACGAGAAACTTCAACAAAGTACGGAATAACTATTGCATTTGAATTATATCCTAGAGAATTATCAAGAATTTATAACTAGGCTTAACTGAACTTCAAAAGATAGCTCAAAGAGCGAACCCTCAACCTTCTTGACACGTGGGAGGGCACGGATTAGAGATGAATTTCGTGTAAACTCAGTAAGAAAACTAGTATTTAAAATCACACAACTAAAGTTTAAAGAGTAAATAACCTGAACAAACTATTTATATCTTTCACCTTAGAGATTCGTCACGGAGAGCAGAGTTGTTTAATCATTTA